CAGCATGGCCTCTCCCAATTTGAAGAGACCCTTGTGCAGCAGGCTGAGGCAACGAGGCAGTCCCGAAACCAGCAAAATCAGGGAGCTGGACAGGGGACAGATTGTATTTGTCTTCAGTGTGGAAGTCACTCTTGAATCAGTATTCTTAGCCACAGTTGATGCTGTTCCAGGTCCTCCATTCAGAGCATGTTACCATAGTCTCTCAAGACTGAAGGACGCCTACACTTAGTGGTGTGCATGAATGTTTGGTTTCACCATCAACTTTTTCCCCAGGACGTTTTTGGAAGGGCCATGGTTCATCTCCAAATGTTTTCCAGGAAATAATGTATTCATAAACAAATGAAGTGTTTAAAAAGGGCAATTGGTTCCAGCTACCACAAATCTGCATATTCCTTGGATGTCCACAAAAGAAGAGTTTGAATAGCAAGGGAAGAGAGTGAAGAGCTGGCTTTTCTTCTCATACTGTGAGGAAACACTATGAGTTACCTTGAGCTAAAATATTATTTTCTTCCTGCTTCCAACATAATGGTATTTGACAGAAAATTCTGAACATGGCAAATTGAGACTACATACTTCAAGGGAAAGAGCACATTCACACAACAGCTTCATAATATTAAATATCCTGGAAGGCAATCTCTTTTATGGTAGGCCCAACACTGCTGACACAGCTAATGCAAAGACAACTGATTATTTATGTATTTATTTATTTATTTATTTATTTATTGGACTTATATACCGCCCCACAGCACTACAAGCACTCTCCGGGCGGTTCACAATTTTTAAATTATACAGGCTACACATTGCCCCCCCAGCAAGCTGGGTACTCATTTTACCGACCTCGGAAGGATGGAAGGCTGAGTCAACCTTGAGCCGGCTACCTGGGATTTGAACCCCAGGTCGTGAGCACAGTTTTAGCTGCAGTACAGCGTTTTAACCACTGCGCCACGAGATTCAAGTGGACTTTGTGCCTCTGTGAGGGGAAATGGCTCTGACATCCCCATGTACTCCCTGGAGAAGTATTCTAGGGACTCTGGTAAAAGGGCAAACTGGGGATGTGGAAGGGCAGGCAGGGTGCCCAGATGAGAGCAAGGAGGAAGTTGCACCTGGGGGACAAGGCCACAGCTGGGCAGGGTGGCAAGAGCCCAGGTTGAAGACAGAGGAGGAGGGGGCTCATCATAGTTGGGGGCAGTAGGCTGGTCAGAGGCTTGTTAAGAGCCATCTTGTTTTGTTGTTGTTGTTGTTGTTGTTGAACTCTGGGTGAGACCAAGCCCCTGATCTTTCAAGATTCCTGGAACAGGGCATGGGTCAGCTTTGCTCTGAGCAGAGCCATGGCAGAACACAAATCTTCCCCACACCTGGACCCTTACAATGGTAGCTCACACTAACAAACAAGGGAGACCCACTCTGCTAGAGGTAGAAGTGACAACATCAGTGGCAACTCGAACTGGCCCAAGAGCAGGATGAGTACCTCCTGCAGAAGGACCCTCATCAGCCCAATATTACAGAACTCACTGAGGTATGTCGAGGGCTGGGTTCAGTGTTTAAAATTTGTCCCTATCTCCAGAACTTGGACAGTAGAGGGCTAGTGACTACAGCTCAGTTCCAGGCTAAGTGAGAAAAACTAAGTTCCCCTGTGGACTTGGGGGTTGGGGAACCAGGGGGCTCCATCTGACAGTATGGCACACTTCCCTGCCATAAGAAAGACAAGCTGTGACTTATACAAGTGTCCAGAGTCCAGGAAACTGATGGTCCAAGAAAACTGTCCAGCCATTCTCACCATGGGAGGAGGTGGCAGCAGCCATGGACCACCTATGCCAAAACAGCTAATATGCAGCTGGACTGTTTCACTAGAGAAGACTCAGTAAAGGAATAATTCTTTATTTACTGATATAATACCCAATAACTTCTAAAATACCCTGGCCATTCTGGCAGGTGTAGTCCAGAAGTAAGTCCAGAAAAGATTCTTCTTCCTCCTCTTCTATCTTACTATGCTTTCATGTCTCAAACTCAAAAGAAGCTGTAGTGAGGGGTAAAGACCAAAAGCATTCCCAAGCCCTGACATGCTCCCAATACCATTCCCCCTTACTCACCTCTGTATATAAGAATTGTTCACTCCTCTGTGATCTAAATCATGGCTCAGCGCTGCGATCAGCAAAGAAAGGACCTCAACATCAGTAAGCTTGTTCTGCATGTCAGGAAATGCAAGGGGAAAAAAAGATGATTACGCTAAAAGTTTGGGTTTATACCAAAGCAACATAGATGATTTGATGGCTGTTGTGGTTTTTTTTTTTTTTTTTTTTCTACATGATTTGATGGTTGTTGTGGGTTTTTTTTGGCTGTTTGGCCATGTTTTGGAGGTTTTCCTTCCTAACGTTTCACCAGTCTCTGTGGCTGGCATCTTCGGAGGACAGGAGCTAGACCTTCAGAGGGCAGGAGCTAGACCAGAGTTCTAACTCCTGTTCTCTGAAGATGCTGGCCACAGAGACTGCCGAAACTTTAGGAAGAAAAATCACCAGAACACAGCCAAACAGCCCAAAAAACCCACAACCATTGGATCCCGGCTGAGAAAGCCCTTGATAACACATACATGATTTGCTTTCTTGCTTTTAGTTGTTTTAAATACATTCATGGTTCATATAGGTTTATTTAGGGAAAAAGTAACTTGATTCATTATCATAAATTTTTCTTAATAAAAATAATATGCTATAAAACTATAGACAGCAATGTAGGGATTAAATGCAAGCTCAAAACCATCAAAATGATTTTGTGTCTTATAGCGTCTTATATCAGAATTTTCTTTTCCCACTTGTTCCTAATCCAACAAGATAGAGAGAACAGAAATTCGGAAAACTAGACAGGTCTGTTCATTTTTTTACTTTCCAAACCTATGCTATGAATTGGGCTTCAGCTTTCACATTTTACGAAAGCATGATTCAGTGTCTTAATGATGGAGAAAGACAACTAAGAATATATTGGCAGTATCTGAGAAAAGACTTGGGTACACACCGGGCATTTGCTATATTTTTTACCCTTTTGATTCTCACCTCATCATCGGCCTCTAATTTCCTGTAGGGCTGAACCAAAGGCTCCAGACAAGGGCCTCTTGCCAACAGTAATGAGACTTATTTGCTTAATCGCCAGCTGTTCCGTGCTCCATATGCACATTAGATCCGCAGTACTGTATTGTTAAGAGAGGGCCAATGACTCAGAGAAGCCAATGCAAACCTGAAACTTGGTTTCCCTGTACCCTATTCTGTTGTTTTATAATCCAGAATTATCAGCATGGTCACATGGGAAAATCTAGTGCCACCCTCTCCCCTGTTTTGCTCCCAGAAACAGCAAAGTCTGGAGGAGAGAGGCTTCTGTTTATGTGTAGGCCCTACATGCAAGCAAAATGCCCAGAAAAGGGGGATTCTTGGCTTGCATACAGAAGCTATGTGCAAGCAAGATTGTTCTGTTTCTTTTGACTTGTCTCTGGTTCTGTGAGAGATGTGACAATAGAAATGGTTTGTCTGGGATCTTCCTGTAATTATGCTGATGATTCCTGATTACAGAATGACTGAATTGGGCTTTAAACCATGTCAGCTCCACTGTGGCCTCAGAATTGCATGAAGGAACACAGCTTGTTATCTCTTTGGATTACAAATTCCAGTGGCCATATTAGCTGGACAATATTGGGAGTCATATTCTGAAAGAAAGAAAGAAAGAAAGAAAGAAAGAAAGAAAGACAGAAAGAAAGAAAGAAAGAAAGAAAGAAAGAAAGAAAGAAAGAAAGAAAGAAAGAAAGAAAGAAAGAAAGAAAGAAAGAAAGAAAGAAAGAAAGAAAGAAAGAAAGAAAAAGAAATGTATCTTTCTGAAGCTTCAACACTGGAAGTAGAAAGAATTTTGTGGGACCTTTTAGTCAGATATATTTTACTAGCATTTACACGGATTGACATCCACTTCTTCCACACATATGCTAAAATATGATCTTGAATGTGGCAAAATAATTGGGTCACAATCCATGGAAGTAAATATATTTACCTTAAGGTTGCCACAACACTCCTTTCTGTGTTCCTGAAGTGCATTAGGAGAGTCACATCTCTGAATTTTTTACACTCATCTTAACAGTGATGGGCATGACGCTACCGCTACTACCCAGCTATGGATTTTGGATATTTTTATATGGCTAACAATTTTGCTTTTTGTAATCTTGGTGGTATTGCTTCAAGCCACCAGACTTACAGCAATCTACAAGTCTATTGGATGTCATCCTGGACATATTGTACCTTTCATGAATTTGTACTATTACTGATTCTTCTCACAGAGATCTCTGAATTTTGTTAATGAAGTGTTAGTAAGAATACTTTGGTGTGGTGTATACTAGCTTTTGGCTGAAATTTTTCACAGGGCTGAACACACACAAAAAAGGTGTCCAAACATACCTGAATCTTCCCTGATTTTAAAGCAGCAAACATGCATTGGGCTGTGTTAAAAGCATGCCTCCAATTGTGATAGGCAACATTTTTCCGATAGTTTTTCCTCACACTTAAAATCCATCTGCAAAGGACCTGTTAGAAAACATCACTGGTCAGTTAAATGTAGAAATATACTCCATCTTCATTAACCATATTCAGTTGTTAACACCATAAAACCAAGTAGCACTTAAGTGTAGTGGGGATAGTGATGCACACAATGCACTTACAGTGTTCTTATCATTGAGGACCCTGCCTTATCAGACCTCCCATCACAGAAACATTGCAGGCTTGCTCGGCAGAATCTGCTTATAACTACAAACCTTTGATGGTAACATGTTAAGATCTCTCTAACTTTCAGGTGGAATACAGACATGAAATGGGGAGGACTTGTCTCTGTTCCTGTATCACCTGTCTACTTCAGGCCCTACCTGTTTCAGGCTTGAATGTCTTCACGAATGTAAACCCAAATTCCACTTACCTGCACTCCTTTCACCTGCCTTTCTTACTGGTTTTATATCAAAGGTACACTATTAAGGAGGAAAATGCTACACATAAATTTAAATCTTAAATGGAATATTAGATTGTGGTCTTGAACACAGACAGCGTTCTAGTTCCTATCCTCTGAAGATGCCGGCCACAGAGACTGATGAAACATTAGGGGGAAAAACCTCCTGAACACGGCCAAACAGCCCGAAAACCTACAGTAACTAACGGAATATTAGATTGTTGGATTATATATATTATGAACATAAGGTCTTCATTTTTCATATTCATATCTGTATTTTATCCATCTTGATTTCATTCCTGTAAATATTTTTAACAGAATTTCAAATGAAATTAAACAGAATTTACATTAAAAAATTTTTATGAACTATATCTATTATCTCCAGGAAGAAATTTTATCTAATTAACGGAATATTAGATTGTTGGATTATATATATTATGAACATAAGGTCTTCATTTTTCATATTCATATCTGTATTTTATCCATCTTGATTTCATTCCTGTAAATATTTTTAACAGAATTTCAAATGAAATTAAACAGAATTTACATTAAAAAATTTTTATGAACTATATCTATTATCTCCAGGAAGAAATTTTATCTTTAACTGGAGCCTTTAAAATTACTTTTTTTGGAGTGCAGTGCTGGTTGGATGATTCTTGGGAGTTTTGGTCCAGAAATTAAATTTTGAATGGTAGTGACTATAGACATGCTGGCTGAAATAAGCGCAAACTGAAATCAAGATCTTTCTTTATACATACACTGTCAAGCAAAGGGGAAAATAACAGTGGGTTGGAATGACTGTGTGGTCAAAGCCACCTCTTCCTTTCAGAATTCTAACTGCCATGAGAATTATTCTGAGGGAGCACTTTGGAGGAGTTCGTAACCTGTTTCCACCCTGTATGGAAGAGATCTTGTCTTGCTTGCAATCTGAATGAAGATTATAGTGAAGCGTGTGATGCTGTAGAATGTTTTACCATGCATAGATAGACATGATCTCATGTACCAGAAGATTCTCACCTCATGTTTCATCTGGAAATTTTGTACAAGGTTAAGATCAGTGAACATTCGAATTGTACACAGAGAAGTTTCCATGTCTGTCAGCTCAAAATCACTGAAGTAAAAGTCAGTGAGTTTGAGGGATTGTGCAGATGGCACAACTGCAGTCTTGAGGGAAACATGAAAGAGAGAGAGAGAGAACAGTAAAGTGAGAGGGAATGGAACCATTTTCCTTTCAAAAAGAAAAAAAAAAGAAAACCCTTAAATAACAAAATTGCAGCATATAATCAGGTTGGAAAACACAATAACCAATTATTTTTTGTTTTTCTATCCAGCATAGAAAGCACTCTCAGACAGCAGCATTAATAACATTTACTTCTTTTTACTGTAATCGAGTTAACAGTAATTACATTTTGTGCTATGAAAGCCATTTTGTCTCCATCACAATTTTAGTAACAGAGGAGGTAAAGTAAATAACTTATTACGTATTTTAAAAGATCCCAGGCGCATACCTGTCTCTTCTAGTTAAAAAGACTTCTAGCAAGGCCAGGAATGACCTCTGACTAACACACTAGGGAACCACTGCCCATCAGTCTAATGGGTTGACTTCATGTAAAGCAGCCTCTGGCTACATCTGTGTTGAATATGCATATTGCTTGCTTTCCTAAAAGCAAAGCAAAACAAAACTTAAAAATATAAACAAATGTCAGTTTAAGTTTCTGGTCACTGTTTGGAGCAGAGAACTTGTTTTTTTCTTGCTGACTAATCTCTGTGTTTCACACAAACATTCCTAATGTTTACAGCTTTAAAGTACAGTTAGTTACAAGTCCACTACTGTAGAAAATAATTGATAATGGACATTTAGTGTTTCTACTGTAAACCATGAATTTATCCAATCTCTTCTAAACCGGATCTTTCCTTCTGCCACACACAGTTTTTTGACCCCTTCCAATAGCCAAAGCTACCATTCACACTTGTTGAAAAACTGCCCTGACAATTGCTTTGGATTTTGGTGAGAAGTGGTTAACTAATGAAAAAATGAGTCCGTTTCTGGGATTTTTCCCTTTCAGAGTGTCTTTTGTGAATAATAGTGTGCACAAGAAGGTATCCTATAGACCACAGGTTCTTAACCTTGGGTTACTCAGGAGTTTGGGACTGCAACTCCCAGAAGCCTTCACCACCAGCTGTGCTGACTGGGGTTTCTGGGAGTTGCAGTTCAAAAGCATCTGAGTAGCAAAGGTTAAGAACCACTGCTATAGACCAGCGATAGAGAACCTATGACATGCATACCACAGCTGGCACGCAGAGCCATAAGTCGCTGGATCGCTACTTCCCCCACCCCATGCAGCCAAACCTGAGAAGCACCACCAGCCATGGTACTGGTGCTTCAACAGCAGATCTGGCGCAGCTGGCACTGGCGGAGGATCTGGAGTGGGGCCCTGAGGCACCTCTGTCCTAGGATTCCCTCTTTCGTCACCACTTCAGGTACCGCTGCTGCCATGGCACGCTGCCTGCTGGTATGTTGTTGTTGTTTTTCTGTTTGGGCATGCAAGCCCAAAAAGGTTCACCACCACTATAGAACCTGCTATAGACCATCTTCACTTCTGCCACTGGTGTTGTCAACATTCAGCGTGCCTAGCCCTAACTAATGCATGGGCAATGCGTGCATGGTGAAAATCTCAGATGCCAAAGGAGAGTTCATCAATATTGGCAATAGATGACTAAAACTTTACACATAATGCTCCCCAGCAGATTCAACACAAGTGTTGAACTGAGACATAAATGTTCGTAGACTGGACTGGAAATGGGTGAAGCAGAATACATTTTACTGCAGCATAGTCAGATGCTAGCATAGTAGCTGTATCCCACATCAAATTTAAATTCTATACTTGAAATGTAGGGAAGTGCCTCTCTGGATATGGAATACTCCATCCTGGTTTTTTTTTAGTTTGGGTTGGTTTGTTTTTTAATGTATGAATACCAGGGGGAAGCAAATACATAGGCATCTTTTTATATACTAGATGACTCATGTTTGCTACTAAAACTGAATTTAAGCAAATTAAAACACATTAGTTGAAAAATCAGAGGTATTACGTTTCAATGTGCCTAAAAGGTAAATATGTGTTTCTAAATTTAACGGAGCACTAGCATGGGAAGAAGAAAAAAGAAAAAACTATTGCTAGAATCTTTTTAACACACATTATCTCATGATTCCCAAACAGCTTGCTAATTACCCAGGTAGGCAGAACCTCTAGGAGCTTTGGACAAAACACTGTAAATGATAATATAGTTTGGGCTGGGGCCATTATATCCTGCCAATAAAAACAAATCTTGCTATAACTCCATTTAAAGGAGGCTTCCCAGGACTATGTTTCATCCTCACCCTGAATTCATAGGCAGAAATCCCTACCAGCCAGCCTTTCCCAACCTGGTGCCATCTAAATCTTAGCATACAACTCCCACCATCCCCATTTGCTATGAGAAGAAAAAGGTATAATAATAAAAACAACATACTGTACCATCAAGTCAATGCTGATTTATGGTGATCCTTTCGAGGGTTTTCTAAGCATAGAATGCTCAGAGGTGGTCTACTGTTCCATACTTCATGGGTGCCCTAGAGCTAAGCAGCTTGCTCAAGGCTACACAGGCTGATCACTAAATCATGGAGTTATTAGTCATCAAAACAAGGTACTACTAAGCAGCTTGCTTAAGGCTACACAGGCTGATCACTAAATCACTGAGTTATTAGTCATCAAAACAAGGTACTACAATAGGAACATTGAATTCTTAATTTATTTCAGATTTTTGTGAAATTTTTTCCGTTTAGTTTTTAATCCTGGCAACTAGCACTGACAAGAGGAGGAGCAGACCTTCTGAACCAACATCGCTGAGTTTGAAGGCTCAGCCAAGGAAAAGCTAAGCCACATCAATAAATGGCAGCAGGAAAGGCAGGAAAAGTTGCACATTGTTCCATGCCAAACAGAACAGCTTAGCACCAGCTTTTCTATGTGCTGTCTTTCTATGATGGCAGGAAAATGCAGACCAAGTACTAGGCTGTGATTATGTTGGGTCACAAAACAGACAATGGTGATTTTTTTCATTTAGGCTGGATCTTTTCTTCAGGATCAACAGGTTTCTACCATAAAGAGAAACCTGAGGAGTCTGGGTGCTCACAAAATACCCAGCAGAAATTATTTAAGAAAAGTTATATTCCTATGATTTTCACAAATAGTTCAAGATCAGAGCGGAGAACTGAGTCTTCAAACTCACAGCTGGGACCACGTCAAAATTGTGGGTTGAAGTGCTCAACCCTCTGATGAAATCTGAACCTCTTCTCCAGACCTTCTCTTGACACAAACAAAATGGTAGCAAACAGATTATAAAACATATTGTTGTCTTCATGCACTTTCTACCTAGTGACTTCAATAGGTATGTATCTGAAAGGACCACCGGCCACAAATATAGACACATAATTACAGCACATAGTAGAAGTAAAAAGGTCATTACCACTGTTACCTGAAGTTCCCTTGCTTCTTCTATGGCAGCTGAAGCATGATAAGAAAGGATCTAAAGGAAAAGGAAGCAAAGCTTGTGTAAAAGTAGAAAAGTTTGATACATACACTGTTTGAGATCAGGAGCAAAGAATTCTTTGCTCTTCCACTGGGATCCACACGGTGCTACTGGATCCTCCAGCTAGATCAGTGTCTGAAACCGATTTATCAAGAGAAATTCAGCAGTACAGTAATCTCAACACAAAGGCTAACATGGAGACCCAAGGACAAAAAAAGGTCATTGTGTTGTTTTGTAGGCAACTGGAGACACAGTTCATTTGTGCACATGTTATGTGTTCTCATCTTAACATTGGCTCAATTTGACAAAGATAGCTTTGTGATAGCTTCCTGATATATTAATGTAAGCTGGAGACCTTGATGAGTTTATTGGTTCTTCCCAGGTAGGAGGACTCCTGCGACTAGCAACCGATGGGGAACGGGAAGGAGAAAATCACATTGTTGCCTTATGTGAGCAAAGAGCTCTTTTCTTTTAAGGGGAAAAGAGAGAGAGAGATTTAACAAGCTGCCATGTTCCTATATGAAAGATAAATAGTTTTGCAGCATGGCTATAATTATATCCTTGACAAATTTGTCAACTTGTCATAATAAATCCATTTTCTCCATGGGTTTGAAACACAGGCCTAAAAAGAGATTCTGCCCAAGGAAAATCCTGGCAGAGGTGTTGCCAATCTACGAGAAAATATATTTTTTTCATTTAATGAACAGATGGAAACTTACTATTTAGGGGTGTGTTGGAAAAGAGAGCTGGACCTTGCTGTTTAGGCTGGACTCATGTTTAACTCATATGCAGCTGAAATTATACCTTCATCTACATCCTATGAGGATTTTATATTTCCTCAAAATGTTATGCTACCCTTTCATAAAGAACTTTAATTAGTGAGAGGGTTGTTACAACCAAATGTAAACAAAACAACTAAATACAGTTTTACCTGAGAGTATTCCTTTCAAAACTAATGGATGACTGAATTTGCATTATAGAAATATTGTACTCTGTTTACACTGTGGGTGCAGGTGGATCCAAAGTCTACAACATCTGACTTCCTAGGTTACTTTGGAAGATGATAACTGTAAACCTGGATCTCCTACTGTGCTCTCCATTCATACCACAGTTATGAAAACTAACAGTAACCAATTCAAAGGCTGGAACTGGATGGCGTTCCCACTTGATATGGTTTGATGAAGTTAAAGGAAGCTATAGTGATCTTTCTGCTGCTCCAGTTACTGGTTTGTTTGAAAGATGGAGCCAAAATCATCATTGGAAACCTCAGACAAGAAGAGGATGTCCCAGTGCCCATAATCACATCCTTTTCCTAGGCAATAACGTAAATCACCAACACCAGTCACCCTTGCCAATGTGCAACATATTTAGGATGGCAGCATCAAAGCTTGGAAAAGTTACATTTGGGGCTACAGCTCCCAGAATATTCAGCAGCACAGCTGACCATGCTGGCCAGGTTCATTCTGGGAGTTGTAGCCTAGAAAAGCAATGGTTCCAACTTGTGAACACGTAGTGCTGAATCCCAAAAAAACAGTTAATATGCAATATTCCTCACCTCTAATGTCACCATCTGTTTCGCCATGGCTCTTTCTACAGCTTCATACATCTGCGTGTTCTGGATGCCCAAGCCACAGAAGATGACAAAAGCTTCCAAAAACTGTTCGTCATTTCTGTTGAAAGCCTTTATTTTACCCGAATTTTCCTCCATTTTGTTGACAAGTTGACATACTCCTAGATCATTAACAAAGCAAAAAGTAATTTTGCGAGCCACCCCAAGTCCCAGTTTCAGAAAAAGGTAGCATACAAAACAAAAGAAATAAATAAATTGTGTGGGCATGCTATTTATTTATTTTGTTTTGTGTGCCACTTGTATATATTTGCATAAAATTAATCACATACTTCTAAAAACAAACTGTACAAACTGTATATCCAGAAGCATATACAGTGGTGCCTCGCATAACGAGCACCCCGTTTAACGACGAATCCGCATAGTGATGCGGATTTTGATGGGTAAACATCACATTGCGATGATCGGCAAGCGTTTTGCTTACCGATCTTCACATTGCGATGTTTTAGAAACAGCTGCTCAGCGGTTCCAAAATGGCCACCAGAAGAAAAAATGGCCACCCGCTGCATTTTTGCGCCCTTTCCCTCGCATACCGGGCGGCGAAAATGGCGGCCATATGGAGGATTTCCACATAGCTGTGAGTTTATCCCTCATAGGAACGCATTAAACGGGGTTTAATCATTCCTATGGGGTTTTCCGTTCCGTAAAGCAATGATTCCAGATAGCAACGATTTATCCGGAACAGCGGATTATCGGCACTATGCGGGGCACCACTGTATATATTTGTGTGTGTGTGTGTGTGTGTGTGTGTGTGTGTGTGTGCGTGTTTCTATCAATTTAAACTGTTTATTCCAAGATCACAAACATGGAAAGCATGTATTCTTCTAGTCCAGTGGTCCCCAAACTTGGATCCCCTGATGTTCTTGGACTGTAACTTCCAGAAATCATAGGCAGCACAGCTAGTGGTGAAGGCTTCTGGGAACCACCGCTCTAGTCAATCACAATCCTTTTAAGGATCTGAATTCTGGCTGGGATCCCACTCATATTTTATGCATCTCTCTCTGTGTGTGCATTTGTATATATATACTAACTAAAAAGAGAAAACCTTCTCAACTTTCCCAAACCCTGAACCATTTATATTCTTTTCTATACCCTCTGAAGTCTACATCTCAATTTTCCTCTTGACTTTTATTATTAATAGTTCCTCAGTTTGATGTAATCCCCAAAGACAATTTGTCCTTTGCAAACTAATTAGGTTTTTGTAAGCATGCCAAGAGAACTATAATGAATGTCAGGTTAATGGTACACAGAGCTTGCACTTCCTTACTTGAATAAGGGCCAGATTGTTTTGTAAATTAACTACATGGAAAACATTGCTAGTTTATGTGCTCCATCTGCTATGTCCAGCTTTTTTTTTCCTATCAGTGCCTTTTCTGTGTCCCTTTGTCCCAAAGCGGGGGCTAAAGAGTGATTTGTAAGAGGCTAATCTGTGAAGGGGGACTGAACCATAAAGATGCACCCCTACCAAATATCTATCTGTCTGAAGAACTTCTATCAGTCATCATACCATGAGCCATCACAACTACCACTGGGTCTCCTCTTAATTTAATTCTCCCTTCTGAGATATTTTCATGTAGGGCTGAGGGGAAGATTTGACTGCAATCACACAGTGAGTAACCAATAATCCTAAACAAATGCCTTGAAAAATTAACCAGACCTTGTTATGCCCCTCAGAATCAAGACTTAATGGGACACTGCAACTATTCTCAGCACTGGAACTTAAACATAATTGTTAGTTAAAGAGTCTTATAAAAATACAGAAACCCTGTTCATGCATTTGATAGCCTAGTTTAAGTAAACATAGAAGGATGGGAGCACACGAGCCTGCCCCCTGCTGCTCCCCATATGTGAAACCTACTTCCTGATCTCATGGGGAGCCTCCCCATGTAGGAAAGGCTCTCTTCTTCAAACTGTTCTTCTCTGTGTGGGGAGAATAATAGAAATGATGGCAGAAGAAGGCTGGCTTTCATTGCTCCCTCATTTAATTTGGCTCCTTAAATCAGATTATTCAAAGTCTGAATGCCAAGTAACTTCGGCATGTGCACACGTATAGTCATATTTTACTTAGCAGTAATACTATTCCAGGAGAAAATGAAGACAGTTATATCAACTGAGCTGACTTGAAGAACTACTAAAATACTCTGGCCAAAATCCTGTTGCTTAGCATAGTAAATTACACTAGAGGAGGCCATTCGAATCAATGGGGATTTGGTGAATCAACTCCTTCGTAAGTTCCAGGGATTCAATGAGCCTACTCTACTGCAATATATTACACTAAGCAACAGGATTTTGGCCAGTACATATTGGGTAGTACTTTATGCTACAGCTACCACAAAAGGATAAGCATAGTTCTGTTCACCCATTATACAGTCTAGCATTCTGAACGAGCTGAGAAAGGAATACTTCATCCTGTTCCTATTCATTGTTGCCTTTTTCATGCTTTCAGTGTCAGCTTTGAAAAGGAGAAGTTGCTGCTCGCATGCAGACTCTCCGCATGAGCAAGAAATAGAGATGGGGGTATCCGTATCCCAGCACAGATAGCGATAACAAGGGTCTAGCCCCTTGGGGCTGGACGATCCACTCACTGATCCACCCCTGCTGCAAACACCATGATTCTTCCAATGGCTCTGCAGATCACAATCTGCAAGCCACTCTTCAACCTTGCAGCAAGGCTTGTCCTCCTGCCTCCTGCCAGGAATGGCTAGCTGATCATGATCTGCAAAGCCTTTGGAAGAATTGCAGCATCTGCGGATCAGTGAGTGGACCATCCCGCTCCATGGGGCTGGACCCTCTTTATCGCCACCTGTATGGAGATATTCGTATTTGTATATGAATACCCCCATCTCTAGCAAGAACCCAAGTTTCCAGGGTTCCTGTTCCCATTGGGAACCTAGATGGTCTCCCCTACCCGGCCTGCTCTTTAATAGTGCAAAAGTATGATCTGATCCTTAAAACTTTCCTGACTACCCGGCTTATGCAAATCTCATTGGCTTTCCTATTTACCATATTAAGGCCAGATATAAAATCTGAGAATTTCCTGGGACATGCTCTCTTAAATCAGAAAGTCCCACCCCTAGGCCCCACCCCCAGGCCATGTGCTCAGGAGACAAAAAGAAAGCCCAGGAAAAAAACTCAGCAAGGCATCCATGCAAACGTATCCCCGCACAGATAGCGATAACAAGGGTCTAGCCTGCTCTCTTAAATCAGAAAGTCCCACCCCTAGGCCCCACCCCCAGGCCATGTGCTCAGGAGACAAAAAGAAAGCCCAGGAAAAAAACTCAGCAAGGCATCCATGCAAACGTATCCCCGCACAGATAGCGATAACAAGGGTCTAGCCCTTTGGGGCCGGACGATCCACTCACTGATCCGCCCCTGCTGCAAACACCATGATTCTTCCAATGGCTCTGCAGATCACAATCTGCAAGCCACTCTTCAACCTTGCAGCAAGGCTTGTCCTCCTGCCTCCTGCCAGGAATGGCTAGCTGATCATGATCTGCAAAGCCTTTGGAAGAATTGCAGCATCTGCGGATCAGTGAGTGGACCATCCCGCTCCATGGGGCTGGACCCTCTTTATCGCCACCTGTATGGAGATATTCGTATTTGTATATGAATACCCCCATCTCTAGCAAGAACCCAAGTTTCCAGGGTTCCTGTTCCCATTGGGAACCTAGATGGTCTCCCCTTCAGACTAAGCATTGAAAGTACAACAAAAGCAGGGATGGAGAAGATGGGCTCAGGCACTCTCCTTGAACTGTGATCAGAATGCTAGATTCTATAATATCTAAATACATCTTATGAGTTTCACACACAGCCTGATCAAGACGTCCAACTCAGCATATTTAAAGGAAACTGTAATAAGACCATTACTGAAAAAGTTCTCCCTGGATCCCACTTCACTAGCAAACAAATGGAAACTTAATCCAGACAAGACAGAAGTGGTCCTGGTCAATCAGAAGGCAGATGAGAGAAAGGGGATACAACCTGCGCTGTGTGGAGTTACACTCCCACTGAAAATTCAGATTCACAGTTGGGTGAACTCCTCGATTAATCCCTGAGTCTGGATGCCCAGGTTTCAGTAGTGGCCAGGAATGCCTTCGTGTTGTTGAAACTAGTGTGCCAGCCGTGCCCATTCCTTGAAATATTTCATTTGGCTACAGTGACACATGCCTTAAGTTACATCTCACTTGGATTACTGTAATGCACTCGACACAGGGGCTGCCTTTGAAGATGGTTCGAAAACTTCAGCTGGCTCAAAATGCAGCAGTCAGACTATTGACTGGGACCAGTTATAGAGAGTGTATAATGGCCCTGCTACAACAACTGCACTGTCTGTTTCCAGGCCCAATTCAAAGTTCTGGTCATTACCTATAAAGCCCTTTAGGGTTTGAATCCACACTACTTGAAGGACTTTATCTCCCAATATGAGCCTTCTTGGTGCTTAAGATCATCAGAGGAAGGTCTCCTCTTGGTCCTATTGATGAGGACTTAAAAGAGGGCCTTCTGTGTGGCTACTCCCAGGTTATGGAATACTCTCCTTTGGGAGGTCAGTTTCGGCCCCTTACTTTTTTCCTTCCACTGATAGCTGAAGACCCACCTTTCTAGGCAGACTTTTAATGATCATGACTGAGTCTCTGAATCTCACTTTTTACTTATGATAGTTTTAAACATTTTAATGATTCAATGTATTTTAATCAGTACTATAGTTTAATCATTTTTTAAAAATGTATAACTTATTGTGTTCTAAATTCTATTCTTTTTAATTTTGTGTGCTGCCTTGAGTCTGGAAGAAAGGTGGCCTATAAACAAGACAAACTAATAAATAAACAACGAAACAAACTTTGCCATCATTAAAACAGTGGCCTTTGGACAGCATCAGCATTCCAGGGGCTTTCCAAAACATTTTTCTGCGAACTCTGTTCTCTGCTTGTGATATGGTAATCAGTCACCTCTGCAATTATGTTTTAGCAAGGACTGTGACTTCAGATACTGAAGCTGCCACAAAACCAGATCATGCCTTAAGAAGCTTAATATTCTTACCAGAAGATTGGACCAAAAGAGCCAGAAACAGAAGAAAAAACAGGATACTAGTACTATTCTGTGAATACTTGCATAAAAAGTTGTGTAAGAATTTATTCTGTGCTATAAAAGCTACTGCCTGCAATACTTTCCATGCTTGTGTCAAAGATGATGTATGTATGCTCTTGTGGAAAAACCAAAACACATTTGGATTGTTTCATTTTTCTTATGTACCACTGTAGTGTGACCATAAGATGCTTTTTACTTACAGAAGGATATCTTTGCATCCAACTGATCACATTTAAAATGTCTATGAGTAATGAGAGTGTGAGAATCACAGCAGGAATGCTTCACTAGTATTTCCAACTTAGTGTCTGCAAATAGAATGTTTCCCCAGTGTTTTCCATGATGCAGTTTTAGATCCATCCAAATATACAAGATGCCAAATCTCTTTTAGGAAATATTTATGGAAGTTGAAAAAAGGAAGAGCCTTGCAAATAAGGCCAGAAATGTTCTCAGCCTCCTGTCAACAAACACCCACATTAGTTATCTCAAATGATAATACTACCAACCAGCTGACAGAAAATTCTGTCCTCCCTCCAAACCCAATTTAGAGAACAATAAAAATGGCTTTCATTGGCAGTGAATATATTGCCATTGGTTTTTTGTTCATTTGTTTCACAGCATTACATACACTGCATGAATTTTTGTATAGCCACAAATGCTATAACCCAATATTACTTGAAAGTAAGATCCATTACATTACATCAAATGATCCCCGTTTCAAAGTAAGATGCTTTGGATCAGATGCTTCCAAACTTATTTGAAAAAATATCCATTTTAGATCAGGGTAAAAGTATTCTATCATGTCCAGAATCCTACTGGTTATTTACTTGAAAAAATATCCATTTTAGTTCAGGGTAAAAGTATTCTATTATATCATGTCCAGAATCCTACTGGTTATTTAGGCCAGTTTAAGTGTAATGATGTAAAATAGCCTAAATTGCTGATATTTGATGAGTCACCACTAGTATTCTTTGTTGTGCATCAAGTTATGTGACTGGTGTAAAATGAACAAATGATGACTCCTCAACTATTGGCAACTATTGCAATTCATACCACTGCCCTTACCCCATCATAAATAATCAATAAGATTCTGGCAGTTGATTTGATTTCAAAGAACCATAGAACTGTACTCTTGGAAGTGGTGAAATGATCACCCAGTTCAACCTCTGGCTGATACAGGTTTTATGAGAGCAGACTAGATATCGATATGAACTGAAGATGAATTTAACATCCATCTTAGAAAGCTAAGTCATTGTGACCATACTATGAGAACATTTTACCACCACCTGACCCTGTATTCACAAAAAATGCCATGCATTATCCACAAATGGAAACATAATGAAACATTCAAAACAAAGTACCTATCACTTTATTCTTCTTTCCATTTTTTATTGGTGTGCACAGCAAACTTTCAATATTCTGGTTTGTACTGTCTGCATTTTCATTCTGTTAAGGAAAGAAACAAACTTTACTAACTTTATTAAGCCATCTGGATATCAGAATTAATAAGGTAAGATACATTATTAATACATAATCAGTTACATATGACAGCTCTATCCTAAATGCTCTCTCTCCCTCACACACACACACACACACACACACAGGGTGAAAATGGTCCAGCCAGAAAGAGATAACTGTTTGTGTCTTTATTAAGAGAAAAGCTGGTCCAAAATATTGGTTCTTACACATGTACTGCTGGTGGAATGCATAATTAGTCTAGGTGGGTACAGCATTTTTATAAGGACTAAGAACCCATTAGTCTAGAAGAAAGGGCAATGGAGCTTTATGAGGTCTTCCACTGTCAAACTGCAAGGTGAAAACTCAGCCTTAGCCAAGGCAGGCAAGAAGAACCATAGGAACAGAGAAAGCTGCTATAAGGATCAAACCATCCACCTATTTAACTCACACTAGCTCTCCAGAGTTTCAGGCAGGATTCTTCCCAAGCTTCACCTGGAGAGATTTCTCCTGTTCCCTGGTAGTATCCCACCTAAGTAACAATCATTACTGACCCTCTGCTCAGCTTGAAAGTTCAGATGAGACTGAGAATGTTCAGGATGGTATGATGGCAATAGTATGGAGTAGTCCATAAAGAAAATAACAAGGATCTCACTAGAAATGGGCATACTATCCCTCAATGCCCATTTCAGTCCATACCACTAGGTATGGACTGAAATGGGCATCAAGGGATAGTATGAGTGTACACCTTGGAACTATTAAAGAACTAATTGCAAGAATGTCATCAAGGATCTCACACAAGATTTTCCATAACCAAATTTTACACAGAAGCAGCCCTACATTTCCTTTCACAACTTCTGAATTTAGGTTCATGTTACTTAGTGTCCACTGGCTGGACAGCTCAGTGGTCTAGATAACTGGGTGTGAAGCCAGAAGTGGAAAGTTCAATTCCCTATGGTGTTTTCTGTGAGTAAAGGCAGCCTGTGTGGCCTTGGGTGCCCCCGAAGAAGGAAATGATAAACCACTTCTGAGTACAGTGGTGCCTCGCACAATGATGTTAATTGGTTCAAAAAAAAAAAAACGT